CCGGCTGCGGTGCAGGTGCGGATCCGTCCCTTCCTCCATCCCCACGGGGATTCCCTCCTGCTCTCATCCCCACTGCGCCGACGTCCTCAGCTTCCCCGGAGCGGGAGCCCTCGTCTCCCAGCTGGGCCGGGGGGGTGTTGGGGGCTGTGGGGGCTCCAGACATCGCTGCCCCCCACTCCGGAGGGCTGTCCCTGCACAGCCAAGGCCCGTATCCCCAACATGGGCAACGCCAGTGATGCCCACAGCGGAGGCAGTACCGTGCAGTGATTTCTTCTGCATTTACCACCCCAGTACCCAACTCGCGGACCCCTTCCCGAAAGCCCCTGCGACTCCCCCGATCGTCCCCGGTCCCTGCGTTGAGCCTTCTGCAGCCGTGAGCTGGCACCGGGATGCGCTGCCCCATCCTGAGCACTCAGAGCAGCTTCTTCCCTTGCTTGCACGGTGCTTTGACGCATCCACAGCATCTCGTGCTGCCTCAGTTTCCCCTTCCTGAGGCAACGCCGGGTTTGCGAGCCTGAGACATCCAGACGTCCAGCCCTGACTCCCCCCTCCCCGAGAGAGAGGGGATGCTCTGTCCCAACCCACGGCTCCGAAGAGCCTGGGGCACCCAGGTTTGGGGCAGAGAAGGTCTATGGAGGGGCTGTGGAGCACCCCAACATCCTCCTGCATTGTAGACGCCTTGCGAGACCCCCTCTGGGGGAATTTGGCTCCTGCCTCGGCCCCAGTCCCCTCCCAGCCACCCCATCCCAGCCAAAGCTCGTCCGTTCGCAGCATCCCGTCCAACGCGGAGGGCCTGGGAGAGCGGCGCCGGAGCCAGGCTGACCCCGCTGTCAGGAAATCGGCCTTGACATCAGCCCCAAAACCTTCGGCGAGAGCGCGAGGGGGGGAGAGAGAGCGAGAGAGAGAGCCTCTTTATTGTAATTCCTCGCCCTTCTTGCCGTTCACGCCCTCTAAATATTTCCAGCCTGTTATCATGCCTCTGGTACCTGCAGCCAAACCGCCCTTAACCCTTTCCTGATGGCTCGGGGCCGCCCGGGCGCGTTCGGCTAACGATGCTCTGCGGGCAGCGCCGCGGGCAGGGCGGCCTTGGGTTGGCGTTGGGTTGACGTTGGGTTGGCGTTAGGGTTGAGTTTGCCCCGCTGCTCGCTGGGGGCAAATGGGGGCTGCTGGGATGGATGGAGCGAGGATGTGGGGCGGGGGACCAGGCGGGGGTTGAGGGGGATGCTCAAAACGAGCGCAGGATGCGGCCGATAGGGGCTGCGGGGAGGTCCACGGTGTTGGGGACCACGGCCAAGACCCTGCACGAGCTGGGGTGGGG